GACTCAGCAATACTTCTGGGTGTTTATCAAAAGAAAGTGAAAATATTAATTCAAAAGGATACATGCACCCCTATGTACACATTATTTACAATAGCCAAGGTATGAAAGCAGCATAGGTGTCCATCGATTCATGAACGAATAAAGAAGTGGCACATATATACAATGGAATATCACTCAGCAATAAAAAAAAAAACAAGCTCTGGCTGGTTTGGCGTAGTGGTTAGAGTGTTGGTCCAAGTACCAAAGGGTTAAATTTCTGGTCAAGGGTACATACCTGGGTTGCAGGTTCAGTCCCCAACCCTGACTGGGGTTATGTGGGAGACAACCAACTGATGTGTCTCTCTCACATCCATGTTTTTCTATCTCTCTTTCTCTCTCCCTCCCTCCCTTCCACTCTCTAAAATCAATGAAAAAATACCTTTCGGTGAGGATTAACAAACAAACAAAAAACAAAAAAAACCCCAAAAGAATCACAACCTGCCATTTGCTACTACGTGGTTGGACCTAGAGGATATTATGCTAAGTGAAATAAGTCAAACAGAGAAAAACAAACACCTCATGATTTCACTTATATGTGGATTTAAAAAAATTAAAACAAACATAACAAAAACAGACTCACAGAAACAAAGACAAACTGATGGTTGCCAGAGGGGAAAGGGGTGGAGGAATGAGTGAAAAAAAAGTGAAAGGGGAAAGTCAGTAATACAAGGGTGGGCAGAAATAGGTTTACAGTTGTGAGTACAAAACACGGTTTATTCTTGGATTATTAGTTATTAACTATTGTATTATTTTCCACATGAACTGTAAACCTATTTTTGTCCCACTCTGTATTTCTAAGTAGTCTGTAATCTCAATTTTTATTTCCTCTTTAACGTAATAGTTTTATGGTTCTGCTGATTTTAAGTCAGAAAATCTAATCTATATAATACCTACATTTTGGAATTTATTAGGTTTTCTCTATGACCTATTACATGGTACTTCTATTAACATTCCATTGGAATCTGCAGAGCAAATGTATTCTTTGACTTGTATCTGTAGTTATAAAATCATGTTGTGTTATTCAAATTCTTTAGAGACTCAGTTAACAGCTTTGCTTTAAACATTTCAATGTTAAATGCTTGATACAAAAAGGTTCCTGGTCTTCAAATTCACTTAATAGACATTAGGTTTTATCAATACAAGCTAACATTCTTGTCTCATTGAACCATTTCCCAATCTCCTTGAATTCCATTTTGTCTAGTGTTAGGTACTATACTCCTTGCTTCTATCATCAATTCGTATATATCTGTTTTACCCAATATTTTTATCACTTGCTTTAAACAGTAAAGCAGAATTTTAATGTTAACTCAATCTGGAAGCTTTTATCTTTTAATGAGGGAAGCAGTAGCACATTACAAGTGTCATAATCTATTCAAATCTAAAATTCACTCACATTTTTAACATGAAAAATCATTTTTTCCTCTACTTGCAAAGTGGAGCAAAATTGGTAGGTGGCAAAAAACACTTTGCTGATTCCAAGGGAGTACTGTTTATTTATTTTTTATTGAATTTATTGGGATGACACTGGTTAATAAAATTATATAGGTTTCAGGTGTACAGTTCTATAACACAGCATCTGTATATTGCACTGTGTGTTCACCAACCTAAGTCGAGTCTCCTTCCATCACCATTTATTCCCCTATACCCTTGTCTACTTCCCCCTCCCCTTTTCTCTCTGGTCATCACCATACTCTTTTCTCCGCCTGTGTTTTGCTTGTTTTTTGCTTAACTCGTATGTAAGAAAATCCCACCAACACCGACACATTTCTAAATTAACACATGGCTCAGCCCTTGGGCTGAAGTGTCTCGGGTTCAATTCTGGTCAAGGGCATGTACCTGGGTTGCGGATTTCATCCCCAGCCCTGGTCAGGGTCCTGCTGGAGGCAACTAATAGATGTCTCACATCGATGTCTCTCCCCCCCTCCCCCGCCACTCTCCTCCACCCTCCCTTCAACTCTGTCTAAAAATCAATGAAAAAATATCCTCAGGTGAGGGTTAACAACAACAACAAATTAAAATAACACAAGGGCATTCTTGTGAAGGGACCTACAAAAGTTTCAGTGATTACATTCGAGCTGAGAGTAATAATAAACTTCTAATGTTGAGAAGTTGGTATGATCTGACAGAAAAACAGTCTCAGATGCTACTAGCAGAGACATATAGAACAAAGAGAGAAACAGAAAAGTTAGGTGTCAGAGATGTTGAAAAATAGAGGAGTCACTTAAAAGAATCACTGTCATTACATTTATAGAAAAGCCACTAGTAAATTACTGTACCTCATGAATACAGCTTCATTTCTAAAAAACCAAGCTGCGCCTTTAACACTGATGTGCACTTTTATTTTTTTTAAATGTTTTTATTGATGGTTTAGAGAGAGAGGGAGGGAGAGACAGAAAATCGATCAGCTGCCTCCTGCACGCCCCCTACTGGGGATTGACCCAGAAACTCAGGGCACAAGCTCTGACCAGAAAGTGAATTGGGACCTCTCAGTCCATGGGACGATGCTCAATCCCCTGAGCAAAATCACACAGGCACTGATGTAGACTTTTTTTTTTTTTGTACAGACAGAGTGGGAGGGAGAGAGAGGAAGAGAGAGAGAGGGAAACATCGATGTGAAAGGGACACATCGAGTGGCTGCCACCGGCACGACCAACCAGGGCCGGGGACAAACTGCAACCGAGGTACATGCCCTTAGCGGAACCGAACCCGGGCCTCTCCGGACCGCAGGCCGACGCTCTAACCGCTGAGCCAAACCGGCCAGGGCTGATGTAGACTTTTAATATAATCTTCATTTATTACTTCCCCAAAAGGGATCAATTACATTGATGTTACAGTTTATAATCAACTATGTCTAAGAAATGAGAAAATATAAGAGAGAGAATATATTTACAAGCAGACTCAAAACATTTATAATAAGATTCAAAGTAAAAGTTATTTCAAAGAGTGAAGTATAGCAGCAGAGCAAAACTTAAATAAATTTTTATAGAAATATCTGCTTCCTGCCTGGCTGGTTTGGCTCAGCAGTTAGAGCGTTGGCGGGCAGACCAGAGAGTTGCAGGTTTAATTCCTGGTCAAGGCTATGTACCCTAGTTGCAAGTTCAATCAGGGCCCCAGTCAAGGTCATGTGGGAGGCAACCAATCCATGTGTCTCTCTCATATTGATGTTGCTCTCCCTCTCCCTCCCTCCCACTCCATCTTTAAAAAAAAATCAGCCCTGGCCAGTTTGGCTCAGCGGTTAGAGCATCAGTCTGCGGTCCAGAGAGACCTGGTTTCAGTTCCCGCTAAGGGCACGTACCTTGGTTGCAGTTTGTCCCCGGCCCTGGTTGGGTCGTGTGGGTGGCAGCCACTCGGTGTGTTCCTTTCACGTCGATGTTTCTCTCTCTCTCTTCCTGTCTTTCCCTCCCACTCTATCTGAACAACAACAACAAAAATCAATAGAAAAATATCTTCATGTGAGGATTTAAATAAATAAATAAATAAATGAACAAACACCTGCCCCTTACCATCTTTGTTTAACCACCTTGTAAACATACCGACTCACACTGAGCATTTGTGGCTATCAGGCTATTCCCTAGTGTTTCCACATATTTTTGCTGCTGAGTTACATGTTTACTAAGAGTCAGTTGTGTTTATTCCAAAACTTATTTTTTAAAAACATATTTATTTCTATAATTGCAGGAACTAAGTATTAGAAAAACAGATAAAATATGAGTGAAAACAGAAAAGATAGTTGTTGCTTCTATGAAAATGAACTTGAATGCTTTAGACTCAAAGGCAATACTAAACAAAGTTTGTTAAAATTCAGTGTGCAGAGGGGAAAATCTATACAATTATACAAATATTCTGCACTCAGAGTTTGTAGAAAGTTTAAATTCGTACACAAGGAACTCAAAACTAAAAAACTTTGATGATGTACCAGTGTCAGGGTTATGCAAAAAAAAATGGGGAACTGAAATGCACTCAAAGAAAATACCTACCCCTGGCCGGTTTCGCTCAGCGGTTAGAGCATTGGCCTGCGGACCAATGAGTCTCGGGTTCGATTCCGGTCAAGGGCACCTACCTCAGTTGTAACTCCTCCCCGGCCCTGGCTGGCTCATGTAGGAGGCAATCAGTCCATGTGTCTCTCTCGCATGGATGTTTCTCTCTCTCTCTCTCCTCCCTCCCTCCCACTCTATCTGATGATAAATGGAAAATATATCCTCGGGTGAGGATAAACAAAAAACAAAACAAAACAAAAAACAAAAAATACAATACCTCTAGGATTATAAAGAAAGAATGATAAATAAATATAAATTTATATGTTGAGTATTTTAAAACTGATGTGTTGCTTTAATACTTTTTAAATTGACTGACAACTACCACCAGTCCACACTGAGAAACAGGTTTCAAATGTAAACAAGAAAACAGTAAATATATTATTTCCTCACAACCTTAAGTCCTATTGTTTTCCTCAAGATTTTACTTTATAGATTTAAAAGATAAAAATCAAAAAGAAGCTAGAGGAAACAGAAATACGAATGATGGTTAACTGCTGCTCGTCAGAAACAATGTATGACAAGAGGTGATTCAATCACATCAATAAAGTGACAAAAAACTAAAAATGGGGGGTGGGGTGGGATCTATATTCAGGGAAAATATGCTTCCAAAATGAAGATAAATATAAAATTTTCATATAAATTCAGCAAATCTGTACCAAACTCTTCCTTATAAAGACATATTAGAATGTAAATTAGTGTGACATTAGTATAGGCATAAACTCTAATGCTCTAATTTTAATATTTTGTACTTAAAAAGAAATCGGGTGTAAACTCCATTATTAGTTATGAAATATTTTTGACCTACTACACGACCCCCATGATATATACAAGAGTTCATCTTCATAATATGTGAGTGACTGCTGATATATATAACATAACAATATAACAAAAAGAACTGTTTACTTCATTCTTGAGAAAACTTACCTTTCTGTTTTGGAAAAATCTGTTCAGGATGCTGTAAAATAAAATAAACACGCATTAGATAAGTACTGTAACACATAAAACAAAGTGAAATTTAAAAAATATTAATTAAGATAATTACCTTCATTATTGGTCTGGCTCGCTTCTCAAACAAACCACTGGGGAAAAGATAAGCAATAGCTCTCTGAAAATACACATAAAGGTTAATTAACAATTGTTATAAAAGCCAGTTAATGTTATAATCAACTGTTAGACTACTTACTATGTACCAGATATCACACAAAGAGTTTCATATATATTCTCATTTCAAAATATTCTCAATAAAAGAATGTTACCACACACACACATCCCCAAAAAGAAAAAATAAATTATAAAGAGAGCAGCCCCTAGTTCTACGATGCCAGGGGACGCCTGACACCAAGGGTAGCACCCAACCCTACGGATACTGTTTCTTCCTATACACACACACCTGTTCACAGCTACTCTCTGGCATATCTGAATGGCCAGCATCACCACTCTTGGGATTGGGGGCTACTATTAAGTAAAATAAGGGTTACCTGAACAGAAGCACTGTGATACAACAGTGGATTTGACAATAAGTGACTATGGGCGGGGTGCAAATACAGTGGAGACAAAGAACAAAGGAATGATTCACATCCCAGGTGAGGTGGAGTGAGACAGCAATTTCTGGAATTTTCCATTTAATATTTTCAGACGGAGCTACTCCAAAGGTAACTGAAATTGGGGAAAGTGAAACTGTGGATGGGGGGGGGGTAGCATATTAAACTAGTTATTACTAATTTTCAAGTGTCACTTCAAACATGAAAGTGATACCACAGATAACCTCTCTGTTATTTTTCTTGCCAGTTATTTTTAAAATTATCTTTATTGATGAAAGTACTGCCGATGTCCCCCCTTTATCCCCACTGACCCCCACCTCCCCACTCCTGGCCCCCTTCTGCCTTCCCCACACTACTGTCTGTGTCCACTGGTTATGCATATATGCTTAAAAGTTCTTTGATTATCTCTTCCGACCGCCCTCCCCCATGAAGTTTGTCAGTCTAACAACCCATTTGTACTTCTTAGTCCCTTCACCTTTCTCACCCCTCTTCCTAAACCCCCTTCCCTTCTGGCAAGCAACAAAAAGTTCTCTGTGTTTATGAGTTTGTTTCTGTTCTGCTTGTTCATTTTTTTTTTTTTAATCCTCACCTGAGGACATTTTCCCATTTTTTATTCAGATAGAGTGGGAGGGAGAGAGAGAGAGAGAAACATCGACACAAAAGGGACACATCGAGTGGCTGCCACCCGCAAGACCAAACCAGGGCTGGGGACAAACCTCAACCGAGGTACACGCCCTCAGCAGGAACCGAACCCGGGTCTCTCCGGACCGCAGGCCAACACTCCAACCATTGAGCCAAACTGGCCAGGGCTTGTTCATTTTATTTGTAGATTTGGTTGTTAATAGATATGTATTTATTGCCATTTTATTGTTCATATTTTTGTTCTTCTCCTTCAAGAAGACCCTTCAACATTTCATTTAATACTGGTTTGGTGGTGATGAACTCCTTTATCTTTTTCTTGTCTGGGAAGTTCTTTATATGTCCATCGATTCTAAATGATAGCTTTAGAGGATAGAGTAATCTTGGTTGTAGGTCCTTGCTTTTCATCACTTTGAATATTTCTTGTCACTCCCTCTGGCCTGCAAAGTTTCTGTTGAAAATTAACTGACAATCTTATGGGAGCTCCTTTGTAGGTAACTAACTGCTTTTCTTTTGCTGCTTTTAAGATTCTCTTTGTCTTTTTTTGGGTTTTAATTATGGTGTGTCTTGGTGTGGGCCTCTTTGGGTTCACCTTATTTGGGACTCTCTGTACTTCCTGGACTTATATGTCTATTTCCTTCACCAAGTTAGAGAAGTTTTGTCATTATTCTTTCAGGTAGGTTTTCAATTTCTTGCTCTCTCTTCTACTTCTGGCACCCCAATGATGCGAATGTTGGTACACTTGAAGTTGTCCCAAAGGCTCATTACACTATCATCATATTTTTTTGGAGTCTTTTTGCTGTTCTTATTGGGTGTATTTTGCTTCCTCATACTTCAAATTGATGATTTGATTCTCAGCTTCACCTACTCTATTATTGATTCCCTGTAAACTATTCTTTAAAATATACATATATTGGTTCTTTATTGATTTGAGAGAGAGAGGAAGGGAGGGAGAGAGAGAAAAATCAATGAGAGAGAATGTGGACTGGCCACCTCCTGCATGCGCCCCCACTGGGGATCAGGCCCAGAACCTGGGCATGTGTCCTGACAGGGAATCAAACCTCTTGGTGCATGGGTTGATGCTCAGCCAGTGAGCCACACCAGCTGGGCCCTGTAAATTATTCTTTATTTCAGTTAATGCATCCTTCATTTCTGACTGGTCCTATTTTATGCTCTTGAGGCCCTCACTAAATTCCTGAGAATCCTTATAACCAGTGTTTTGAACTCTGCAGCTGTTAGATTGCTTATCTCCATTTTGTTTAGTTCCTTTCCTGGAGTTTTATTCTGTTCTTCTATTTGAGACATGTTTGTCTCCTCATTTTAGCTGCCTCACTGAGTTTGTTTCTAGGTATTAGGTAGAGTTGCTTTGTCTCCTAGGCTTGTTAGGGTGGCCTATTATAGTAGATGTCCTATGGGGTCCAGTGCCACAGCCTCCCTGGTCTCCCAGCTGGGCCCTTGAGGTGCATCCTTAGTGTGGACTGTACACCCTTCTGTCGTAATTGAGTCTTGATTGCTGTTGGTATGTCAATGGGAGAAATCTACTTAGGCTAATCAGCCGCAAGGACTGGCTGTGCCCACTGACCACTGACCTCTGACCACCTTGGAGAATCAGCTGTGCAAGGCCCACCACACAAAGTAAGATTTACTTCAGCAGGGTTCTGGTACCCATTGAGTCCACTCTTTGAGTGTGTTGCTTGTGGAGGTGGTTGGGTGGTAGTGCTTCAATATGGTCTGAAGCTGTTCACTGTGTGTACTGGCTCTGGGGCCTTCCAGGAGGCGCAGCCAAGGTCAGCCACTGCCTATGTTCTACTTGGAGCCATCAGGCATAAGCTACAGAGCAATCTGCAGATAGCTGCTTCTTGTGCTGGGCTTGGAGCCACTTAGCGAGAGGTATGGGGCTCACTGAGGCCAGATGCTGCTTGAGAGAATTTAGGAAAATCCAAAGCATGAGCTAGGCCAGGCCATTCCTATGGTAAAGCCACTGAAAACAACTTGGGTGGGCCCTAAAGTTGGGTGGGGCAGAGCTTCAGGGAATCACCAGGGTGGGGCTCCCAGTGTGAGCCAGGTTGCTGGTGTCCCAGATATAGATATAGTGCCTGTCTGCTGACTCCAGGGGGAGGGCTCAACAAAGAAACAATGGCCTCCACCAGCACATCTGTCCTCAGCTCTTGCCCTGACATCAAACAAGTCAGTTCTTTCCCATACGTCTCTGGTGTCTTTCGGGCTGCCTCTCCCGCGCTGAAGCCCAGAGGGAGCGAGTTGGAGTAAGTCCACTGCCTGGGTCTCCAGCACAATCAGCCTCCCTGAGCCTCAATCTCCACTGGCGTTTACAGCCAGAAGTTATGGGGACTTCTCTTCCTGGCACTGGAACCCTGGGCTGGGGGGCCTGGTGTAGAGCTGGGACCCCTCACTCCCCAGAGAGGACCTTTCCAGCTGAGGTAACTCTCCTGATTTTTATCCACCACAAGTTAGTGTGGGACCAGCCTGTCCTTGCCTCCGCCCCTCCTACCAGTCTCAATGTGGGTTCTTCTTTGATTTCGTAGTTGTAGGACTTCCAGTCAGCTCGATGTCAGGAGGTTCTGAAGGATGGTGGTTCTGTAGTTTAGTTGTAATTCTGATGTGACTGTAGGAGGAGGCGAGACCGCGTATACCTGCGCTGCCATCCTGACTCCCCGCTGGCAGTGCAAACAGCAAAGACAGAACCCTGGAAAGAGCAGGCTCTAAGTCCCACCCACAGTCATAATGTCTGCTTGGCAATGGGATGCCACTGGCACTCGAGTGACAGCTCCGGTGAAGGTGACTTTCCCCTGTACTGCAGGTCATGTAACATCCCTGGCTCTTCTAAAAATCTGTGCCAGTGACATCCCCAGTGCTTGTGACAAATCTCACACACACACACATTTCCTAATGTCCCTTGCCTCTCAAGGAGCAGCACTGCCACCAGCCTGAGACGTGCTTTGGCCTCTGTCTCCCCCATTGCCCTCTCACCACAACCACGGGGAGGAAAACCTAAAGGCCTTTCAAATCAGGTTCAAACATCCCTGGCACTGTTTTCAAATACGAAAGTGACTACTGCCTTAAGCGACTACTACCTGAAGTGACCGCTGGAGAGAGTCCTGGAGGAAATAAAGATGTGAAGAACTCTACCCCCAGCTGGGTTTCTAATGAAAATGAAGACGTAGAAAAGCCACAAAAAAGTTACCTGATAGAACCTGCAAATAAACCATAGATTACAAAAGACGTCTAGGTCTTACAGGCAATCTGTGTGAAAAAGAATGAAAACAAGCTAACAAAGAATTTGCTGAAAGTATTTGGAAATTCAACTAAAAGGATCAGGAAAAGTGACTTTGCCTTTTTAAAAAACTGTCAGCTAATAGTAAATTAACACATATTTACTAATTTATAATTCCTCACTACATTAGGTTATAACAATAATGTACCAACTATATAACAGTATATCATACTAAATAATATAGTAGACTACATACTATATCAACAGTTAGCAATAGAGTATATGTATTCTACTATGGTACACTGTACCAACTATATTATATTATATTTGTACCTAACTACAAGTATTATGGAGAAGGTCCACAGAGCAAAAGACACCATGTCAGATAAAAAGCAAAATCACAAATTCAGTAAAAACAATTTAATAGAAGAAAAAGGAATAAGAGAGGGAATAGTAAACAACATAAACTAGTTCTTTTTGAATCAAATAAAATACATAAAAAAGAAAAGACATATTCCCAGCATGCTGTCAGTCACATTTAATATGCATGAAATAGCACTAACACAACCTAACCTATTATTTCCATGTAGCTCCTACGGGCATTCTAAACAGATTTTTTTTTTTTACAAATTCTGAAGCAAACAAAGGACTACTTGGATTTTATGAAATAATAATAACTATTATTTTGTTGCT